GTTCGGTCCCCAAATGTCATACGGTGGTCTACAAGTGTTCAACTGGGCGATTGGTGATCTGTTAACTGAATTATCTGGGAAAGTTGCCTAATATAATATTTTCGTTTAGTTTAGTGGTGAATGGTTCATTCCGGTTGGTCGTCCAATTTAATGGTATACAGAACTTCAGCGGTTAACTGATGCAACTAAAATGCCTAATAAAAGGGCACAGTGCTGTACGGTAAGCACGCGCTCCATAATTGCTACTGGTGAATTGCTATCAATAATGATGATGCATGCTATGATGATGATGATGATGATGATGATGATGATGATGATGATGGTGATGATGATGAGAGACGGAGGGAGGGAGGGAGGGAGGACGAGGACGAGTCCACATGTGGATTTGCTTACGTATGCTGGCAAAACTCAGTGATGTGAAGGGATCCCAATCACCTTCTGTCAACGTTTATGTCTTGTGCGTGCTCTTGGATCGATCTCATGTTCCACTGGTGAGCGTCACAATAGCTTCAGTCTTTTGTGACGATCTATATGTTTATTAGGGGGGGATATAAGTAGTTACAACCATGTTTGCGATAATACTTTGGCTGATTAACTCGGCCCTCCTTTTATGGATGCGCACGCAGGTTATTACTCGATAGATTGGTCGACACGTTTCGCAGTCTTCAGCTAAGTTTGTACCACGGCGGTGACATGTCCCGCTAACCCATGTTCACTAATTATTGGCACTAAGTTCACTTGAAGGTGAGTAAAATGAATTTAAACACTACCTATTGTGACGTTTGCACAGACCTAATAAAAAATTTACGCCCCACAATGGAACCTCACTCTCCTGCTAAGCAATTGGCCTCGGGGAAAATGAGTGCTAAGTTAAACCGTCTTATTTACTGTCAACGGTCCACCATTTCGCAAGCGGCTATTGCTATAGCAACCAGTATATGAGATAATCTTTTGAAAAAGAACTAACGTTTTTCAAAAAAATGACTCTCTCTATATTTGAACGGTGATATTCATGATTTCATTATAGGTCAGTATTATCGATGAGTAGGTCGTTGGAATTTATCCAGAACAAGTCAAAAGTTACTCACTGAGAAATGTCAACGACTAGAGCACGCTACCAGGAACACTGACATTGATTCTGAGATAGGTAGATGGAGTTGATAGGAATTTGGCATTTGGCGGTAACAATCGAGTTTTTAACCAGTCGCGTTCGATTTTTGCTTGTCAGGGCTGTTTACCTAGCTGTTTTGCAAAGTTTACCTGCAATGGTAATCAACAAGCTATTCAGTACTCCTACGGCCGACTTCGTTCTCTGTCAAAGAGACAAACGTCATCCCAATGGACCATCTGCCTAGTGAAATTAGTTCACCTGCAATTCTAATCCAATTGGGATATTTCAGAATGTCAGTCATCTACGGTGAAGCTGGGTCAACATGATCACTGTTAAACACAATTGATTGGGCATTCAGAAAGTCCGCAACCCATTTGGATGCTTCAGACGACGAAACACGATGAATTGTGTTAAACAATCCTCGTGTTCTTTCATCGTCACCACAAATAAATGATATTCTGAAACATTCAATTTGGGTGCGTACAAAACTGTGTCCTTGTATTTAGTATTTTATTTGTATCAGTTAAATGGTCTTGTTTTGCGTACAAATATGACTATCACCAGAACCTTTTGATTTTTTTTTACTTTTGTGTGAAATTCCAAAGCCGTTTTTCATTTTAGAGGACAGGACCCTATATTCCCCATATATTGGGTGACCTGATTTTCGTACGCCTTCTCCATCCTCTTCGACATCAGCGATTAACCTTCAGCCTCAAAGAAGCCGTTTTTCATTTTAGAGGACAGGACCCTATATTCCCCATATATTGGGTGACCTGATTTTCGTACGCCTTCTCCATCCTCTTCGACATCAGCGATTAACCTTCAGCCTCAAAGAACTGAGTCATTCAATGTGGATTATCACCGGGTGTCAGTGCACAGTGAGTTTTGAACTCAATTCCAGTTTGAACCAATGGCCAAACAGAGGTTGTTTTGTCAACCAGCAACCAATTAAAGGGTTGGGCGTGTGGAATAAATATCTTAACGACCATTACGATTGTAATTTATTTAGTCATGGATATCTATTCGTGGTTTCTATCTTTATTAGTACTTCTAACTGTTCCAGTCACAGCAAAATGTCCAGATGATTTGACGCAATTAAAGGACGGTTCATGTGTCGTTATTCTAGGAGGCGCTGATGGGCTTTGCAATGCCCTAGAAGAGTGTGCATTGCTCTCACAAACGAAACAGCAAGACTATTTCCTTATTGGCTTTCATCAACGCCATGTAACGTACGAGGGCCCGAAATTCACTTGGTCGTATATGTGGACAAGCATCGCTGACATTTTACAAAACCGAAACCAAGACAGGAATGGATGGCGCGATGCAAATCCGAGAAACCCTGAGCACTTTTCCCAAGAAGGCGAAATAGTTTGGGACGAGAACCAACCGATGGGAAGTGAACATGCGACGGCAGTCATCTATTCCACTCATTTACTTCACGATGTGCCTCTTAAGAATTTTAACGCACAGGTCGTCTGCGAGCTGATTGGTCCAACTACAAGTGCACCCACATCCTTAGTTCAGCTCAAGGAAAATTTTCCAGTGGTGCTTACAACGTTCTACAATGACGATCCAGGAGCTGATGGTTGTTACGTTCAATCAGCGGAAGTGAATTTGGGGAAGTGTGCTTTCCGGTAAGTCAAAGAACATGTTGGTGTGTAAAAAAGTTACTACAGCGTCACCAGAAATAATTCGCTTAAGGTGAGCAATTCCCAGGACGAGTAAATATCCAAAATAAGCATTAATTTATGTTCTATCTAGCAAACACACTTTCACAAATTTTCACATCTGTTACCGTTTTGTAAGCTATAATTGTTTTCTCATTGCAAAAACTTCAGTATCATAAACCAAGTAATCGAGTGCCATTGTAAGAAGACATGATGCATTTGTAGAAATCTGTGAGTTCTTTCGGGGACAGCTAGGCCGAACTGCGGTCCGAGAAATCACGGCATCAGATAACGCGCTGTTTTACTTCTCGGAATCATAGATGAAAAACTTGCGGGCGGTATGGTACGTGAACAAGATGAAACGAGTGAAACAGTATGTTCCCTAGGTCTATTATAAAGGAGCAGACAGAACCATTCTAGCAAATCCTTTCCGTTTTGTGAACCTCGTGCTTTTTTGTATTGGGATTCGGTGCTCATCAGTTTACTGGCGATTGGTAGGGTAGATATTGCTGGGTGGGTTTTCACAGTGATTTGTTGTGGGTGTGTGAACATCTCTTTCCTTGAAATCAATCACGGTATATACGCTAAAATAAATCGCCAGTACGATTTACCACCAATGATCATTCAGCATAGAAACTCGTGCTTTCTCCTCAGTTGCAGTGTGCACAAATACCACTATCGGCATACAAACTAATTATTTTATCATTTACCTGCGAAAACATGTGGGCTGGTGTGCTAAACTCAGAATGGATGAAGGTGAAGATCACAATGAAGGCATGGCCAGTTAGCGCCATAGACTCGGTTTGGGTTATCGTCATTGAAACCAAGAGCAGCTCAAGATCAATGAAACGGTGGATGGCCGGAAACCAAAATGGTTGCACACTGTAAGCTCAGTACCGACCGCATTGAAAGGTTGACGGTATTTTGACCTCATTCCTACGGACCTGTGGCTTACGTGTATCCGGTTCTACGACCGAAATAAGGAACGTCACATGCGCAGCTGGAGGATGAAGTAACCATGGATCGGGACAACGCCGGTAGATTGTTTGTTAGTCGACGAAAATATTGGACTACCCTCGAAAACCTACTTACTATGTTAAATTATGGGTAACCTTGGCAAAAGTCAAGTATCCCCATTGCAGTTCCATTCTTAAACGGTGGTTCTATGATCATTGTAAGAGGACCCCGTGGACTTTGCTTGAGCATTTGTCCTATAATTATAGAAGCTTGCTGCTCGAGATGTCTTATTCTTCCGGCAAACTGTCACTTTGTTTTATACCTCCAACTGTCGGCGTTGTAACCTTGCTAAGCATTGTTTCTAATTGGCCAAGCTTGTGCATAGTCTACCTCATATTTTTCTTTTGGACAGTTTTTGCTGGATCAGGTCATCTGGCGGGCGAATAACTAGCCTTTCGGCAGGGTAGTCAGTTATTATCCTTGTCTTACTTGTGAAATTTACTAAGTGGTTTTTGATACAAAGTCTTTTAATCAAGTTCTCTAGGTCCTATCTCCGTCGGCTGTGGATAATACGTCCTCTTCATAGTCAAAATGGGTTAAATCGCCGATGATCTACTGCTTCTGATGGCAAATAAGCATAGATATACAAAGTCAGGCAGTAGTGCACCAAGCACTTATCCCATTGCGACACCATCTATTTATCTATACTGAAGGCAAACTGAAAGGTTCAAATACAGCAGAGCCTAATTAAACGTATCCCAACATCAAACTTTGTGTCCTTAATGAAACTACGAAGGAATCGCACGTTTCTCCACAGAAAGATCCCTAACATTGAATGAAGTGACGTCAATTGAAAAAGCACTTCTTCTCCAGAATGTGAATGCGACTGCTGGACTATTTTTGACCAAAATTTTACCACCCATCAGCTCGCCTCTCGCTTTCCAGGACATAGTCAAGAGCACTTTCCCATTAGCAGCACAGGATCAGTCAGAAGTTTCATAACTTCTCCTGTGATCGACACTAGCTGCAACGTGAATTAGAACACAGTTTTTGCAGTTATATACCGGTCCTTATTCACTTGTCCAAAATGTATTCATTCTGTACGGGTACCCAGTCTATACTAACAGACAAGGCAAGACCAACGATTCATTGAAAGACGAATGGATTTGCGAATGACGAAACAGCGATAGGAACATGCTGAACACCAGTTATATTGGCTACCTGGCTACAATTCTGAAACAATTATTAGCTACTTATGTGTCACTTATAATGCAGAAAACGCTTTCCAATACAATTCTAGAAACTAAAACTGCCTCTGACCTACAAAAAATGTCGTAATTTTTATTATGCCTAGCACTCGAATTTGAGAGGAAACAGTGATGGAAAACCAAAATAAAGACATTACTGAGGCGTTCCTTCAGAATGTTCTATGTGTATGAATTTCTGATTCATCACGGAGTTAATTTTGACTGTTTCAAGGTTTTCCGGCACTTTAATCTGCATGAGAGTTCACCAGCCCTTCAAAAGCGTTGAGTAATAATAAATTCAACTTAGTTTTCGCCACACTGCTAAAGATGCGTACTTTTCCAGCGAAAATCTCGGGATTTATCTAGGGCTGAGCTTAAGTTTTGAACCAATTTTCCATAAATGAGTATAGTTGGAGGAAAAAGCTGAGACCATACTCCAAAAACAACGAGGCTTTTCACCTTTGCGACAGACATTTTTTTATATTTAGAACTAATGTTGGCCAACGGATCGGTGCAACTTTCACGTATCAAAACTATTGGAGAAATGCCCCACTATTGAGGACGAAGGACAAAAGAGGGGATATTTACTTTAATTACCCATACTAGACACGTATCCACACCTGTCGTGCAGATTTTTAGCGATGAAACTGCTGAACCTGACACCTAAACATAGATTATCGTGTTTCGCCAGCCTCACTACAAATAACTCACGTTTGAAACATCCAAATGGGTTGCGGACTTTCTGAATGCTCAATCAATTGTGTTTAACAGTGATCATGTTGACCCAGCTTCACCGTAGATGACTGACATTCTGAAATATCCCAATTGGATTAGAATTGCAGGTGAACTAATTTCACTAGGCAGATGGTCCATTGGGATGACGTTTGTCTCTTTGACAGAGAACGAAGTCGGCCGTAGGAGTACCGAATAGCTTTGTTGATTACATTGCAGGTAAACTTTGCAAAACAGCTAGGTAAACAGCCCTGACAGGCAAGAATCGCACGTGACAAAAAGTTCCACTGCTACCGTTGATATGAGCCTCGAAGGCTCTTGTCAACGTGAGGCTCAGGTCGAAAAATATCGAACATTGTACCGACCAGGTATGGCTGCTGTGAACACATCTTCACATTGTTCCACGAGCTTAAGCAGTTTCACGCATACCGACAAACTTCGGCGGCTTCCCTATATTTCAAAAGAGCCTCCGACGCCATGAACAGATTAGCTGTTTTAGCCAGACGTCCAAAGGAGGATACCCACGAAACTTTTAAACATCTTTTGTGCCGTTAGTGTTCACATTGCTGGTCGTCAGAGCTTACAGTGGGTAATCTGAGAGCTTCCTTCTAGGGTCCTCCAGGGATGCCTCTATCGTTTGTTCTATTCTTACTCTGACGGCGAATCTAGGTATCTAAATTGCATCTGAAAAAGATTGGCATACTTAATGCGGATAACATTGTCCTGTTATTTTAAAATCATGCGTCCACAAAAACTACTTTAGATAGAATATCAGAAGCGAGTCCCTTTCCCGCTATGTGATTTCCACTTTCAAAATGGAAGGTCTTAAGTCGGTATTACCGAAACCTATTTAATACTTTGAAAATTCAGAATGAGAAACTTGAATTTGTTGATATGTTAGCCTATGTTGACAGCTGCAGAAGCATGGTGACACATTAGGTATGTGCACGAATTAGCAACGCACGATTGATATTTACCAACTCGCTTCAGTGCAGAAGCGGATATCTTTAAGGTTAAATGACTGTGTCCATAAAACGACCGTGACAGCAGTGCTACTCTGTGGTTGGTCCCTCCAACTGCATTACTCATCTGTCCGTGGTAAAGAAATAGTTGACTGGCTGCAACATGTAGGCAGTGAGACAGTTCGTAAGCGAATGCTACGTGATGAGTCGAATTCCTTCGCGCAGCAGCTTGGGATTATCAGGTTATGTATAGTAGTACATTTGCCCGATCACCGTCTACCCAGAAGAGCCGTGATCTTTATTCTAAGCCCTTGTTAGTGAGTGCTTTACAGAGGAGAGTGTATGACGTGGAAATACGAAATTAAAGCTGTCACTGCCTAACTGAGCACTGCAAGGTATTGTTCCTTCTTATGGGTGGAACCTACGTGACTTTGCTTGCGCTTGGTCGTACATCCCAAAGTACATGGTACAAAAGCAGTTAAAGGGAGGAATACGCCACTGTTTTCTGCTACAGCGGTGCAACGGTTTTATCACATGGGGATTTTGTTTTGCGAAAATCCTAACCCCAAGGTTTGTTCCGCTCAAAGTATTTCTTAAAGACAGATTTTATGGAAGCACACTTTGAAAACGGATCATTACTTTGATGCACTCGAAGTTCACTTGAATAAAGTGCGAGTAAACGCGAATCTGAGCTAATTAGTTCATGGGTAATATACAAACTCCAGGCAGTCTGCACCGGTTGCTTAATTGCCTTCTGCTGGAGACGCTTTGGAAGCAACCGCACTAATGTACTCTCACTAATCGGATTTAAAGGTAATAAGAAACTTAATACACTACTCCTAATTTTGCTGAAAATTCTTCGACAGCCCACGACCGGTTTCGCCCTTCTTGGGGCTCATCAGGCAAGCGCAGTCGCCATTAAGGAACTTTTTGATAAGTGAGAGTTCTTCTTGTAGATCAATTTGATATACGCTAAAAAAGTGAGAAGCAGTGTACAGCTGTTTCGTCTCTGCTGAGAATCATCATCTGTGAACACCTGACTCAGTCAAGAAGAGTACACCCAATAACTATTATTGAAATTCTCAGGGAAGGAACAATATTTTAACCTTTGCCAGGATTTTGGTTCGCCATTCACTCTTTTCTCCTAACCCACCACAGGTGCGCCATGAATAAGGACTGCCGGAGTCTCTATTATCATCAATCGAACGGGACGTGTGTTCAAATGCTCTACATCGACGCACGCCTCCCATTTGAATACCGCAATTATGTTCGACAGTGGAAACGCTACGCCAAGACTGGATATACTTAACCTGCCGCATGATTACTGACTGGGAATTCCCGCGCGTACACTAATGCGAACATCAGCCAGTCCATATCTCACCTGCAGCTGCCAACTGAATTCTCATCCATTCTGCGCTGGTTAGGCATACCGTCATATTATTCTGGTAATCAGTTTAAGTGCCATTTTTGACGAAATTGCACTAAAATCACCCTCAATGAATGATTCATTTATCATTCCATCTGGTTTTAGTCCCTCAAAGAGTTTGACGAATAGGATCAATTGGTGAGTATGGCAATTCCAGAGAGGGGTTAGTGGCCTGGTGTACTGGAACCACCAATGGTCACATAGGGCGTAAAACATTATGTAAAATATCAACCAATGTAGACAAATTTGCGGTTAAGGTATGCACATAAAACGCTAAACATTGCTTGGTTGTCTGTTTCCTTTCTCTTACCCAACATTCAATTTATTTCACGATATGTCTACAGATGTCGAAGAAGTTCAATCCCTTCACAGTAAGAGGACGCTGGTCCACCATAATACTGCTAATCATACCGCAGTTGTGAACATAGCATTGATTTGTTATTCACAAACTACAGTTTCTCTCACAGTGGCAATACTGACAGAATCATTGCACTACAACTCGCCCCATGTGATTTATGGGGGATATCCATGTTGATCTGGCGTAGAACGGACTGTACGGTGAGGCCTGCATGAGGAAACTCGGCGTTTCCAGTTGTTCGCAATCAACACGAGTATGAATCGCAGTGTTGTCAACTATCAAGTGTGAATAAATGTGATAGGTCGAGCTAACATAACTGTTCAGTGAGAGAGGTCAGTATTGAGATTTTCTACCACAGCTTGCATTGGGAGCCCCATGCATTGTCTTGGCCACCTTGTGTTCATAAAATGGAAACATACACGGCACATTCGTAATCGTTGAGCTGTCAAAACAGTCAGGTGGACAATTAGTCCAACTATAAATGCTCACAGTTCGCGGTTACATTTGGTAAACAATTCTGTGAAATCGGCGCTGCACTTTCTGTCCCAAATATGACAGACAGAAGAAAGTAAGACGTATGGGATCTTCGAGGACCAACACATACTACCAATGTGGAACACAGGATGTTAAAGGAACGATGCACGGAATACCACCAAATACGTACCAAAAGAAAGTTCAGTACAAATACCTATCTAATCTAGATTAACTCTGTAAACTGTGGGGATTTTACGAACGTATCAGGTAACAGAAAGACGTACAGTGGAATCTTGACTTGATGCAACTAGTTTGGCGTTATGATGTTTACGCAACGCACCAGTGTGCATCCTCCTACTCGGTGGTCTCGACAAACCGAACTGCATATTCACCCGAATCTATCTAGGAGTCCAATATTTAAATAGTGTTATAGGGTACCACTTAGTTCGTGGGCGCCGTTTGAAATCTCAGCCTGACATGCTAGACGCGTTCACACACATTACGTTTTGAGCGCGCACAACAAAGTACTTACTTATGGCGAGGTCATCAAAAATTTCTTTGCGATTCCAATGAATTTAGAAATGTTTTATGAAAATGACACTTTTATAGTAAAATCAGTTTGGAGAAGAATACGGGACTATGAACTAACTGGTCACAGGGTACAAGTAATACTAAACCTACGGATGTTATAGGAGAGAACAAAATGCATTCCTAGTCTGATGACGCATAAAAGGTTCGGTCTCAAACTCTAGTGAGGACAGTCTGAATTTGATAGAAGCAGTGAACCCTGGCTGATATGGTCAAAACTATATGGCTCCGGGTAGAATTTCTCGTGAAAATCACGTTGGAATCAGCGACAAATTCATTCCAACGTAGACCACAGGCGTCTTAGCGTTTCTGGACAAAGATCGTGTCCATTTGACCTTAAGAGTATGCAACCGCACACTTGTTCTAAGCGCGCAATATCTTCGTCCAGTCACCATTTCATCAGTGTATTTTCATCTAGTGAGGAAGCTGGTGATAAGCATATTTATCGCAGACAGCAAGAAAGGAGGAAAATCATGTAGCTGTTGGGAACATTGGCGCTATTTGGTAATAGAAACCGGGTTCCGTTCAACGCTCGCTTCAGTCAACCTGCGCCATCATCGTCTCCCGTCAACGCTGCCAATGACATCAGTCTAGTCAGTCGACAACAACCGTACTGCATCAGCTTTCCCATCCATTGAGTTGAAGTAATGGAGCGAATCACGTATGCCACAACACCTACTGTGCTATAAATTTGATAACATGCGCGAAAAGACCAGTGTGCGGATCCTACAAGACGACTTGCATCAGTCCCAGAAACATCATTTGAGCAGCTTTAGAACGAAAGTGGAAGCGGTAGGTCTGGACTTGGTTACACGGGAGATGATGAGTGGCAGTACGAAGAGAACAACGTTAAATCGGTTGCGCATCCCAATTCTGACCTATTCCTTGAAACTGGTGAATCATGTGAGACCGCATGCTACGTGCTTACTTAATGTTTACAAGCTGTGTAGTGACATTTTGCTCATCTGAGTGTGCTACGTATGTAGACCTCAGAGATACAGCATTTGTTAAGCTGAGGAAGAAAATCAAGCTTTATTTGTCATAACCATCAAGTCGAATAATTGAACGATCATCCCTCTTGACTAAACGGCTACTGGTTTTCCGCGTAGTACCAGCTTAGCCGCAGCAGAAACTACATGGTGTATTGAAATCAAAACAACCATTATTGTTGTTGAACGGTCGTGTACAGCTTTCCTCTTTTAAGGCTATCTCTCGTGCTGACTGACTCTGTCAATCTCATAAAATGTGCGGATGTAATGTTAAATGTCACAAAGTTTCCATAAAGGAAACTACTCACAAGGCTGCTGAAAATTCTTCAACGGCCCACGACCGGTTTCGCCCTTCTTGGGGTTCATCAGGTAGGCGCAAGTTCCCGTCAACCTTATATTCTTCTTAAACCCAAATTGGACTGTTTTCGATAAATCCTTTCATTTTCAAATCAATTCGGTGGAATATCATAAACGAGAGATTCAGTTTAGCCTCTCGTTAAAACCAAATTGATTTGCAAGTGAGTGAATTTCTCGAAAACAGTCCAATTTGGGTTTAAGAAGAATATAAGGTTGACGGGAACTTGCGCCTACCTGATGAACCCCAAGAAGGGCGAAACCGGTCGTGGGCTGTCGAAGAGTTTTCAGCAAACTTGTGAGTAGTTTCCTTTATGAAAATATACTTCGATATCTCGAATATCGTGCCAACTGACTCACGAGGCGGCCTGTGTGCAGCACATTCAGTTGTAGAGATTCAGTTAAGTCTCTCGAAAAAACAAAATGATTTGTAAATGAGCGTATTTCTCGATCACAAGGTTTTGTATAAATGGTAGACGACAGGATCAGCTGCCAGCTTTTGGCTTAGAAGAAACTTCAGTCTGAATGATCAGAGCTTCTTGGGTCTCTACCTGCGACAGTCTTAGTCGAAACAACTTACTCGTGCGAAAAATTCGGTAGTCGGGTGACGCTGCTGGGATTGTTGCAAAGAGACACGTTTAACAGCTTTGAGATTTTCTGTCCACAACAACTAAAAATACTGAGATATCTGAATTACTCGAAATTTGAAGTAGAATTCGGCCGGATTGTAGTAAAAGCACACTTGCTTATGGTTTCAGCCAACGTTGGCCAGCCCGAGTTAACCAGTAGTAACCAAAAGGATGCGCTATCTTACAACTGCGCATGACTTTTGAACTGTTGGTGGCTGATTGGATAGAGTCAACCTTGGTAAGTCTAACAACTAAAAGGATTGGTGTTGCGTAAACAAAGGAAAGCCAACTTGGTGGAACAAAACGAAGATTCCACACTGCTTCCGCCACTTTCAGGACACGACAGTAAACCAGGATAGGTGGCNATCCACACGGTCTTAGCGTTCATATGGACCACGGAATTATATGTACTGAAGTCATCATCAGTTTGTGATTTGAGTAAAAGCTCGAGGTCAAGCGAGTCAATTACCAGAATGTGGCCATATTCCGGGTGACTAAAACCAACCTGAAAGCACCAACGTTTTGACGCTGCTGACGAACTTACGGCAACGAACTTACATCTCAAGGTCCCGTGTGCTTTATTTTGGTGTCTTAACTAACTCTGTGATTATCTCTGTCCAGTTATCAAAGGCTATAGAAAGAAGCAATGATCTTGGTAATCATGCAGTAGGGGCACCTATCTGCTTATTCATTAGTATCATTTTCTTGTTCCTTTTTTATGGAACACTTGAGGAAATCGATCATTCAATGTCGTGGCTTATAGACCGACCGTGACTCACGTTCATTTCACCCAAATGGCTTCTGTGTTTATTTGAAAAACGTGGAAACTCAGAACGCTACAGAAGTAAACCCACTCTTAAAATGCGGGACTTGTGTTTTGGATTTGAGTTTCATTGTTGTCTTATCGCAATGAAGCGAAGGGGAGAATGAAATCGCTGGAAAGCTTGGGAGCCGCTATTTTTGCTGATGCAGTGAGTAGCAGGGACAATTAACCGAAACTAACTTCCTAGGACATTTCCGATGGACACTTTCAGCGCAACAGATGCAAGATGGTGTAAGTCCTTGCCAGTTCTGATTCTGCTGCATTTAGTTGAAGTTTCCTGGTCAAGGCAAAAACACTATACAAAGCTATGTCTTATCCATGATTAAAGTAATGATCGTGAAAACTGAGGATTATTCAGCCTACTTACCACCACAGGTGGTCTCTCTTTTTTTTAAATTCGGTCATTTTCAGTTCAGATCTTAAATTGATAGAGCTGGCTTTATGACGATACATGGCTCTATTTTCGTACACTATAGCAGCATACACTACGCTGAATTACCTGATGATATTTAAAGGAGACTGTACTCGAAAGCGATTTATAAGTTACGTGTGACTGCTTTTTGTGTTATGTCCATCTGGATTCCCCACTGCAGATGGAACGAATGCCTGAAGAAACACTCTACTTGTTTTGTAGCGAAGTCTATTGCCAGCCTGTAAGAAAAAGGT